ATGCCATGCCTCGGAAGTTGAGAATCCAAGTGATGTGATTTAGCTACTGCATAAGTAACTATGACAAATAGGAATTTATATGTACGTGTAAATTGATTTTGCCTCTTATTATTAATTTACAGATCGTTTCTATGTGATTATTTCAAATATATATTTTTAAGATATGTCGTCAAAATATTTAGATTTCCTTTTTAAATGTTTTTTTTTACAGGTATCTTTCTACAAAACTTTATGTAAATTACCATTTTAAATTTTATAAAATTTTGTATATCCTTTTTGATAACGAAAAAAACTTTAAAAATTTGGATCGTTACAAACATAAGGGCTCAAACTGAATGAAATACCCCAACTTGCAAATCTGGCTATAACATACAACTCTGGTAAAAGAAGAAAAAGAAAACAAAAATTGATCTCAAATCAAACTAACAAGTGAATGAAGAATGAAAGCAGTAATAAAAGATGAATGGTAACTTGGAATTCGGCATTTGGATAACGAGTAAAAGATTACAGAGGGCACTGATCTCACTAATAGATATATCAACTTTACATCTTAAACACATATAACTGCCAATATACCCCAACGGCCAAACTTAATCCAACACCCTGTCTTCCCCACAGCATCACCATTTTTCTTCTTCTTCCTCTTTGATTTCACAAAATCCCAAGATTCCGCCTTCAAGCTATCACCATGAAGTCCGATCTTTAACAAACCTAGAACAAACAAACCCCTCACCCTAAAATCTCAATTTCCACCCAACCTCCTCCTAAAGAACTTTGTCAAATAGTCCCTCACTTCCAGTCATATCAAACTCAAGAAGATCAAAGTCTTTTTCGAATTAAATCAAGATCAAGTCCAAGTTTCGAAGTGGAAATCCAAACTCCAAAATTCAAGTGTCGAACAAGTCAAATTCTCAACAAATCAAATTCTCAACAATCTCGAATCCTAGGATTCAAGCCACGTAACTCCTCGTCTTCAAATATTCAGATCATTAATCAGAGGATTTTGCAATTACAAAAAGATTCATATCCATTTGTATTTCTCAAAAATACAATTTGTAACGATTTCTATATTTTAATACGCGAAATCCGTCGTACAAGCATTTTTTCAATTCAAATGTTTACCGTGGTAAATATGGGTCTCAATATGATGCTGAAAATCTAGAGCATAACTTTGAATGTTTTCACTTTAGTCCTCGAACTTTGGATTTCTTTCGTTTTTGCCCTTTTTCATTTCTTTCTTCTAATTCCACCAATTTGTCTCGAGTTTTAACTAATAAACAAAATTAACATCTAATTAAACCATAAATTATCAAAATTAATTGTACTAGCAGAAAATTCAGTATTCAAACCAATTTCATGGTCAAAGTTGATTTCAAGCGTGCTGCATGTATGAGCCTGTAGATAAGCGTTCCATCAAGGATGTAAATTTTATTCCTTAATTAAGTACTATATACCGAACTGGTAAGCGTGCCATCTAGGATTTTCATCAGTCCAACAGGTTTACTGCAACAACTTACTAGGAAAGTAAATTTTAATGGCTCCTAGCCTTTTTGGAAAATTTGGGATGTTGACATGAATGTTGTACCTAATTATGTACAGATGCATGATTTATTTCACACCAAAATCACCACGGGAATGGAGGTATGTACTTTCACTGTTTATACTATTGATGCATATATGCTGTGAAGTCTTTATGAGAGGACTAGAACCTGGACATGATTTCTAATTAAAACAGATCCTCCAAAGAATGAAAGATAATTAATGTGTGTAATGAATAGAAGTACGATTTTGTATTCCAGTTGATAAAAAAACGAAAAAAAAGCAATATAAGCATAACAAATCTAATCTATTGGCTTATCGTGCTTCTTCCATTAGTGTAATGATCATTTGGTTTATTGAGCTTGGTGCATTTGTGCTACTTGGACTTTCAGCCATAAACAAATCCCTTTCTGTGAAAAAAACCAGGTTGCTTAGCTTGAGCCTTGAGGCAACTCCACTTCATTCCCAAGCATAAACACTACTGAAGACATGCTTGGCCTGTCATCTGGACATTGTTGAACAGACAACAGTCCCACATGGATCGATCTCTGCACTTCTGATAAATAACGTGAAATGCCAAGGTAATCATCGACGAATTCCAGTGACCTTCCTTCTTTATGCAGCATCCATGCCTGTCATAATTGAACTCAATTAAAGGACCATCTTTTTGAATCCAAGAGCCATAGGGACTAATTTCATTACAATGTGAGTATACACTATACTTACATGTCCAAGAAGGTTGTGGTGGTAATCTCTATGGGAAAATCCTCTATTTCTTGTGCCACTTACAATTTCAAGCACCAAAGCGCCAAAGCTAAATACATCCAATTTCACAGAAAACATGCCATCTATAGCATATTCTGGGGACACGTAGCCGCTACATGATAAAATTTATCAGGCAATTAAGTTATAAGCAATGGAATAGCATTTCATAAATTTTGGGACTGAGATTCTTGCTATGTTCCAATTACTCGGCTCGTATTAGCTCCAGTCTCGTTTCCTTCAAAACTTCTAGCCATTCCGAAGTCTGATATCTTTGGGTTCATATCAGAATCTAGCAAAATATTACTAGGTTTGAGGTCTCTATGGATGATTCTGAGACAGGAATCTTGATGGAGATACACAAGTCCCCAAGCAATGCCATTTATAATGTGAAAGCGCTTAGGCCAATCAAGTACTGCACTTCGCATTGGATCTGCCAAAAAACTCTCTCTTCTCATGAGGATGATTTGTTGGGTAATTGAAAATGAGAAATCAAATCCAACATCTATAATGACATAACTTCAAGCACACAGGAGCATGAAACTTCACATGTTGCAAAAGAATAATGTTCTGTACCCTATATTACAATTGATCAAAAAAATTTATGTTTAGGACTTGAAAAATGTGTATGAAACTACTTTCCGTCATTAAGCGTAACTGGTACTCCTGATAGAAATTGCTATTGAGATAATAGTGCGATGTGAATATTTCTTACCGAAAAGAAACAAGGCAAGACTTTTATTGGGCAAGTATTCATAAATCAACATCTTTTCTTCTCTTTGAATGTAGCATCCTAGAAGTTTCACGAGATTTCGATGTTGTAGTTAAGCTATACAGATAACTTCATTCTTGAACTCATCGAGTCGTTGGAGGGAATTTCTAGATAGCCGTTTCACAGCAATTTCCTGCCCCTCCTCCAGTAGGCCCTATATCAGAAATTATACATGTAAAATGTATTTGTTTTGCAAAACGGCAATTTGCATATCATCTTCCACTCACTTTTCATGTGACCTAGTGTGACGTTGAAGACTTAATTTCACATTGAAAAGAATAGTAAAATTCCAAATGATTATGCGAGCAAAATATTTGATACTGTCGTTTATTGATCATCCAAAAATTTTGGACACAAGATAAATATCTGAGAGAATCTATCCAAGCGTGGTCCTGCCCTGTGAAATTAAAACTGAAAAATGAAAAAAAATTAGATATTACCTTGTAAACAGGTCCAAATCCACCCTCTCCAAGCTTGTTATTAATTGAAAAATTATCTGTAGCTTTAATTATTGCATATAAATCGAACAGCGGCAGTTTTATGTCTTGTTTTGACTTTCATCTTTGTTATGGTCCATAAAGTTGTCTTCCAGCCTCCCTGAAACAAAAGTGATGAATTGGATGTAACATGATAGAGAAAAGCAAAAGAAGGGTTTCAATTAGCTGTGTATGGATAAGCTTGGTTTCTCCAATTGTCAGTAGTAGAAAATGGTAGATTTTTCTTTCTACCTGTTCTGAGCCTGTGATTTCTTATCTTCCTTCTTCGAAGATAAAGCATCAGACTAAGCCCAATCAGAACCATTCCTATGGACAACGGCAAACCTACTTCAAGAACTTTTCTTTTCCTCCCTTCTAACTCTGCAAAAGTTTATCCAAATAAAATGAGTTTTTTTTTTCCAATGATATAGAACCTTGAAATTGAGAAGTATACAGATCTTCTATAAAGGAAAATAAGACAAGAGGAAAGATTTGAGATTTATATTTTAAATTGTTACCTAATTCAGAAGAAGCCATTCTGATGTAGATACCTTCACCTTCTTCAGATAGTTCTTTGATGTTAATTAGGTCTTTAAACCAAAGTAGGCATCCACTTTCCCCTATGCTTATATCCAAGTAAGTATAAGCTGTATAAGAGCAATTCTTTAAGCATTCTACATTGCATTCTTTGAGTGTCATACTCTCGTTATACCAGGAATATTGTGTATCTGGCAATTTAATACCAGAATACTTGAGAAATACATCTCCAGTCTCCTTGTTGACAATTCAAGGGAGTTCTGCAAACACACCCATTCGACCAATCTCCATTGTACCATCCATTTGGATTTGTAGGCAAAAATTTATTGAAACATCCACAAACTGGAGAATTCGCAATATTGCAACTACCATATGCACCACACAATCCATAAATGTCACAATTATCCATTGGAGCAGTAATATAAACCACCCACCCCTGTGTTCGATTAATCCATGTTGAGCACTGTCCAACACCACTTGCAGTCAAAGTAAATCTTGAAATAACTGATCTGTTTAGAAGCTCAAAAGAATAGTAGGCCTCGTTTTTATTTAGAACTACTCCGTATTTGTAAATAGGATTTTTCCTGAAGTTTGGCAACCCACTGTAGCGGATTCCATTCCAAGGTCCACTTTTATACTGCACCGCCGAACCTTTTTTCATTTCATGTTGTGTTGGAATAATCCAATTGTTCACCAGCAAACTCAGCTAGCTCACGTTCAACCTGCATAGCTCTTCTTCCAGATCCTTCTTCAACAGAACACGTTCCACATGCTCTACTCCAGCTCATTTCCAGATCCGTTTCAGCACCTGAAACCAGCCTATTCTAGATCCTTCTTATTTTGGTTAGTTTGTTAGATTTAGTCTATAAATAGGGCCATGTAATTCCATTATCAATTTTGAGCTTGATGGTAGTTCTTCTGATTTCGTTTTCTTAGTTCTTCTGATTTCGTTTTCTTAAGAACAGACCCCAGATGACACTTTCGATGAATAGTAACATTTACTGGCGGTTTTCATCTTATTGATTAATTATTAAGTAAACAAGTGTGTAGTTCACAAATGAATTTGAACTATATTTAATAGTTGGACAATTTCACTAAATATAGGTCTAAGATTACATATAAGATATGAAATGATTAAATTAACTAAAGTTTGATCAAAGGTTGCTATGATAACATCTTTTATTATTTTAACTTTTTCATTTTATTTTTATTTTTGTAACACTTGCAATGGGAATATTAAACTTTTTT